TTGCATGCATGTGTCGCTGGAACTGCGAGCCATATTCTTGATGGATCAGAACGCGCGTGGGGGGGGGGGAAGTCCGAGGCGATAATTTATCCATATCCACCGCCTGGAGGGTCAATTTTCGGAGCCTCGGCAGGCGTTGGATATGGACATATTCGGGCCTCCGGGGGCCGAAATACATCCATATCCACAGCCCGCTGGGGCACCAGGGCGGTTCCCAGGCGGTGGATGTGGACAGATCCCCGCCTCGCAGGAAGGGGCCCATCGCCGGCCCAGGAATGCCGCGCGGACATCCGACAGCTTGCGTTCCTGTTTCCCCCCCTCTTCGCTTTCGTTTTCTGGCCCTTGGCCCCTCGTGGTGGGGCGGGCCCTGGGCACCGACCGCACCCGCACCGCTTCCCGGAGGGGCTCCGAAGAGCCAGCCGGAGCGGCGCTCTACAACTCCGCGGGGTTCGGGTACGTAGGCCTTCCAGGTCGGTCTGGCTTGTGTGGCGTTCCCGGGTTTGCTTGGCGGCCAGCTGTTTGACACTGTGGCCCTACATAGCCGTGGTGTCGAGCTCTGGTTGTCGCGCTCCCATCCCCTCCTTGAGCACAAAATCGGATAGGCCATTTGCCGAGGCGTCGGAGGATCGTGCCGCCCATCTGATGCGTCGGGGGGGGGAGCTCGGCGCGATTCGCAGCCTCGTCCCGACGTCGCCGAGGCATGGCCGATGCATACCATCCTGGAACATGCCCATCTATCTATGATCGGCATCGCCTCATCTCGATGACGATCTTAGGGACTCCCTCAGTTTCTGAGGGCGCATCCCTGAGATTGTCATTGCCTTTTGGCTAGCCAGGCTTAGGGATAGGGATGCGCTCGAGGCCAGTTAGATGGACCGGCGACTCAGTGTGGTCATCCGACCCCTTTTGCGCCCGACCCGATCCAGTCGGGTCCAGCGAAGGGGGGGGACGACCAGTGCTTCGTGTTTGAGGAGACTGCAGAGTACAGTGCCGTTTTTAATACATGCTCCGCGTGCGGATCATGCATTAAACATGAAGGATTAGTAAATTAATCATGTTTTGAACATCCTTTATGTTTAAACATCCTATGTATTAAAAGCTACCCTGTAAGGTGTGAGGAAGGGACTGGAGGATGAGGACATGTATCGGCGGCGTGCCCAGGGGGGACGTGAGAGGGGGCAGGCCTTCTCAGAAGGCGGCGGGGCTTCTCCGAAGCCCTCCAGTCTTTGAGAAGCCGTCCACCTATTCGGAGAAGGCTTAGGAGCTTCTCAGAAGGCCGGAAGCCTTCTGAGCTTTCCGCGCAGGCCCGCCCTCTCTGCCTTCTCCCCGGGGTGCGCCGCCGAGTGATGGTGTGGGTGGTGTGCTACGAGTCGACTGACGGCAAACATGGCGCTGAGTCCTCACATGTGACTCGGCTGGGGAGCTGACAAGGACCGAATGTCCGTGAAGTAGCGAACGCGTGCAGTATTATGTTCTCACGGCATGCGTGTGTGTGTGTGTGTGTGTGTGAGTGTGAGCGAATGTGTGTGTGTGTGTGTGTTGTGTGCGTGCGTGCGTGCGTGCGTGCGTGCGTGCGATTAAGAGTGCGTGTGCGTGTGCGTGCGTGTGCGCGTGCGTGTGTGCGTGTGTGTGTGTGTGTGTGTGTGTGTGTTTTTGTATCTGTGTGTGTGTGTGTGGGTCGGGTGTGGGGTGTGGGTGTGGGGTGTGGGTGTGGGGTGTGGGTGTGGGTGTAGGTGTGGGGGGGTGGGCGTGTGTGTGTGTGTGTGTGTGTGTGTGTGTGTGTGTGTCGCTCGTCAGAGAGACCGCGTCCGTGATCGAACACAGCCCTGTTCTTGTGACGGGCCACTAGGGCCGAGGGTTCTTGGGGCCTCTCAAGGCATCAGAGCACAGTGCACGGTCCCCAGACCGCGAGCAAGGGCAGGCCGAGCCTGCGGTGCAACTCTAGAAGCCCAAAAGATCCAGAGCACAGAAACGGTCCCCAGACCGTGTCAAGAGGGCAGGCACAGCCTGCAGGGCCTCCCGAGGCCAGACAAACCAGGGGCCTAGCCCCGACCAGGAGCGAGGGGGGCCCCCGTCCCAGGGTGGAGCTTCGCCACCAGGCGGTCACGGCGCTTGGCCCGTTCCCGCTCCGCAAGGGTGACACAACGATCGGGGGCGGGGAGGACACCAGCGCAGGGGGGCCCCAAAAGCCGCCCTTGCCGCTTGGCATACGCTCCACAACGCCTGCACACCGTGTACGGAGGCCTCTGGAGGATCTCATGGCCAAGCGCCTCAGGGACCTCCTCCGTAACAGTTCCCCCGCCCCCGCTCCGCCGCCCCGCCCACAGCGGTGTCAGCAGCGGCGGCAGGCAGTCGGGAGTCCTCGCCTCGCTGCTGCGGGGCTCGCGCTGCACCAGCAGCGGCCGCCGTCGTCGGCAGGGGCGCCGTCGGGTGCGAGGGGCCCGCAACGGGACGCATCGCACGAGTTCGCATCGCACGACCCCTCGCCCTCCCATCCTCC